AATCCATTACCAAGCACAGCATTGTTAATTGATTGCTCCATTACCATATGATAGCATCAGCTCACAAATCTGTGCCCCAGCACATGGGCATTCACTTTTTCTGAGTTCAGTAATAATATCAGTGTGAGCAGAAGCTAAAGTACCATTTTGATATGGTTGCTTTTGCAGCCAAATTCTTTGTCTTCACCTATGGCAGAGGATCATTTATGGTTTTATAGCCCTTCCTGGAGACAGTTTTGCTTGGGTCTAAGTAAAATCACAGAATACCTCAAGCTGTAAAGGACTACTGAGTCCAGCTGCCTGCTCTTTGCAGGACCACCTAAAACTAAACCTTCTGATCAAGAACATTGTCCAGACACCCCCTGTTTAGATCTATACTGAGCCAATGCCTAGTGTACTAAAGCAACATACTTTAGTTAGCACTGCCCTTACTTCCAGGCATCACTTCTTTCTGCAAAATTCAAAATATCAAAAGCATTTCTCCAAAACTATGGCAAACTTGGATGTTGCATTTATCATCTACTCTTTGCATGGCATGCAAATACATCTATACCTCAACCACCCTTATGCCTTCTTACCAAGAGGCCTCTCTCATTGCTTTCAAACACAAGAAAGGCAACAGAATCATGACCTTTCCCAACACAAACAGAATATATAAGAATAAAATGAAATCTCCAAGAGATTCCAGTGTCACAGAAAGGCTTGGCTTGTTTTGGTTTACATTTTTATGTGGAAGTAAAAAAAGGTTCCTCTTAATACAGATTTAAATTTGGTAAGAGAGGAATTTATATATGTAAAATGGATCAAGAATTAATGATATCCAGGCCATGTGAAAATGCTGCAATGAATTTGCATAATGAGTAAAGTAAAATTCTGTAGCACTTACTGAAATATTTTATCTATATACTGCAGCAAGCATTACATATTTAATGAGAAGCAAAATAAAATCCTGAGAAATATTTTTTTTAAAACTAGGGGTCCAGAAGCTTCCAGAAGCTGCATGGAGCTGGACTAATTCTGACATTGTGTAGCTCTGAGTGGCCTTGCTGAAGTTAAAAAAATAGAATAAAAAAGAACATTAGCTGAAGTCCCAGTTTATCCTACCTATTACAGCTTCATCACAATAGAGCCAAGCTAGTAAAGACTTGGGAGAGCAAGGTGTGGAATACTGAAAATATTTTGCAGGCATCAGCCATGGATAATAGGTTTTAAAATGCTATCCAACTAATTCTAGTTCATCTACTTTGACTAACTTGATACTACAATATCAGAAAATTATGTGCAATGAGAGTAAGAACCTTTGGGAATGCAACTCTGACAGGCAGAGGGAATTTAGGAAGTCAGAGTGACTGCTTACAGGAAATATATCCACTAAGAAAAAAGATGTGGCTTTTGTCATTCCTTTAGAAGGCCTGCAGTGATAGCTGTATGCCAGTGACACTGAACATAGCAGAAAGAAATTATACATTTTCCAGAAATATAAGAGAAACATGCTGCTGAATGCTGTTTACAAAAGCAGCTCAGTCTTGGGAAGGATGCAGACACATAGCTGCTGTATAAGAGACTGGGATCAGGGTTGAATCACAGCAGGCACAATGCACAAAAAACATCTAGACTTCCCTGAATGTGACTGACCTGAACCATATGGTCAAGCCACAGAAGGAAGCAAAAAGCAGGGGGAATCATCCAATATTTTGAGACTGCAGCTTTGCCCAGCAAAGCAAAACAAACCTGCTCCACAAAGGCAGAGCAGGGTGCAAAGATCCAGCTCCATTTCATCTGGAAACACGAACTTCAAGTGGTACAAATTGCACCAAAGGTGCACCAGAGCTGGAGAAACAGATAAACTCATGTCATTCACGGTGCACAATGAGGAGCATGAGGAAGGTCAATCTGCTCAAAAGAGGTAACAGGTATCACCTGAAGTATCTGCCCTGCTGGGTAAAAATGGAGCAAATCATTTCCTGTTAGAGACAAGACAGTACCTATTAATACATTTGTCTTTCTCACAACACTACAAGCTACCACATGCCCAACAACAGAACTCATTAAATCCTAGGAACGGAACCCCAGGAGAGAAGGAGAAAGAACAAGCTCTTGAAAGGAGATATTGCACACAAACAGAAGACTCATGAATCAAAATAATTCTGTTCATAAAGAAAATCAATGTGATCGTTAAGCAATGAAAGCAGGAAAAAATTCAGGATAGTCCTAAGTCAGCAAAATTACTAAAAGAAGGTCCCCAAGCTTGTGAAACTTCCACCCTCTTGCTCTGCTTTTAACTGGCCTATTTGCTGGAAGAATTACACAACCCTTCTAAAAGACTGCAACCAAATTTTGGTTTCTTTCTCAAATATTCAGGCGATTGCTCAAGTCAGCTTAGGAACGGCTTTCAAACAAATTAACAAAACAAACAAACAAAACACAAATCCAGAAAACTACCTAGTCTAAGAACTGAAGCTCCATTTGGAGATGTGAAATTTCACTAGTCAGTTATTCTTAAGTCACAAGGTGTTACCAGTTCCCACTGAGCAGGCCACTCTCCACAGGCACAACCAGAACCTGACATCAGAACACATCAGACTCTGATAGGCTTTACCAACTGTGACTTCATTACCTTCTATGCCAGCAAGATTAGGTTCAGACACCCATCTAAAATCATGTATTTGACACATCCAACAAGACAACAGTGGTCCAACACAGCCTCCTAAGTCATTTCAAAGACCAGAGCTTGAATGTTTGCTAGGAGTACATGGTCAGGAGCAGCTGATTTACTTTCCAAAGTTATAATTCCCTTGCTTGTTGATATGGGAACTTCAAGGTAGTGCAGAACATTTTCAAGCCAACAGAGGAAAACAGACCTAGCACCACAAGTCTGCAAAACAATAAATTTACCTATTCACCTGCACAAAACACATACACATTCCCAGAGGAGAACATGCACTTGATGCCAGTTGCTTGCTATCTATCTGTCATCCATTATTACTGTAAAAAGGTAATTTAAAAAAAATTATTGAGAGCAATTCTTTAAAACCAGAGAGAAAGCAAGAATGAACACAAAATGCTAAAACTTTGGAAAATGAACTATTATTTTAACGTAGGCAAAATACTTAAGGTTCCAGCATATCAATGATTAGTTCAGTCAAAGCATAAAAATCTAGAGTTTCAGAGTTTTATTACATACAGGTGTAACTCAGCAAGGGAAATACTGGCACAGCCTGCCCATGAATTCATACTTTTTGTTAATTACCTAGGCCTTTAACCATTTGTAAGAGCTACAGAGTGCTCTCATCTGAACATTATTAATGCACACTTCAATATTCAAGAGAGCTAAATCACCTAAGTACCTCAGGGCTTTTCTGTTCAAGAATTCATTCTGACAGATATATACAGTAACATTCTATAGTTATATTTGCACCAGTAAACTCCCCATGTGGACAGGGATTTTGAGAACAGAATGCTTTTCCCTTCTGCAGATAAATCCCCAGCAGCTTTTGTGAGATTCACTGAACAGCCTGAAATCAAAGAAGCTCATATGCCCTAGTGACTGTGTGCTTTTGCTCCTCTGCCCAAGCCAACAGGGAACAAAATGAAGAGGTGGTCAACACCCGTGGGTCTGCAGCTCCTGCTACAACACCACTACAAAGGGCTCGTGTGGAGAACAAAAAGTCAGTTCCTTGCAACCAAGGAGTTAATTAGCAAGATGGGAAAGAGAAGCACATGGATATTGGCATAAGGCAGACAGGGCAACAAAAGATGTGGAGCTTGGGAAAGAAATAATCCATAAAACTGAACAAAAAAGCTACATTCTTATGCAAAACCAGATTTCCTGTTCTCATCCCACTTTTTTGCCCTCCTTTGACAGAAAACCCTTGGCAGACTGTCTGGCCTGACAATGGAAAGGTGAAAGCACAGTATAAGCAGTCAGTCCTGCTTGTGCTATCTGCCAAAAGCAGGCTGACCTTCATTCCCACTGCCAGAAACATGAGGTCAATATGAACGTCTAAAAAGATTGTCCTAAGCATTCAGTGAGCGGTTTTTAAAAGCTGTGAAAGGAAAACTTTCCAAAGTTGGAAGGAGTAAAGGGAAAAGTCTCTTAGCAGCTGCAAAACTACCTTATAAGCCTTTCAATTAGAGTAGGATGAGCTAATAAAACCAGACCTTAAACCCTGGAGATTCAGTTTTTAAATCGTGCTTCTGGTTCACAAATGAAAGGCATCTCTTATGCGTGCTCTAGTACACAGAGGAATCAAGCCACATCAGAAAATGGTTATATTATTAAACTAGGCTCAGAAGCACACTGGAGACAGGCAGCAGAGTCAGCAGAACACTCTCCAAAATCTTGCCTCCTGGTCTTCTATCACCATTTCAGTGTTAGTTGCCTGTATTTGTAAGATGCATCTTTAAAAAAGACTTCTCAATCAATGAAAAAACCAATTTTTTAAAGTATACCACAGGGCTCATTCAACCTGTGGATACAAAATATGCATCTAGTTACACTTTCTAATTAAAAGGTATACTCCAGCTATTATTCTCTAAACAGCTTTTTACTGGTGATACACAACCCTTTCCCACTTCTCAGGGACATCACCTAGAACAGTATTTTTTGATAACAACTCAGCCACCACTACTTTATCATAGACCTGTTCTGGAGAATGAACGGGAGGGAGCAGAAATTTCTCCACTGTCCAAATGGAAAGATGTCCTACTTTAACTTACTTCTAATAAAATCCTTCAGAAATGGGTTCCACATACTACTTCATTCCTACAGAGAACTGTCAGCCCTAAACACAGACAAAATTCTCTCATTTCTACTACAAGGGATTACTTTAGTTCATAAAAACCACTCTCTTTGGTAGCTTGGTGGGAGGTCTGTACGCAAAATGACATTTCAGTTTATCAGGCAGCTCCTCTCAACTCAGTTCTTCAAGGATCAGCTCTGGTCAGGGAACCCAAACCACACCAACCCTGTGACTGCAGAAAAAAAGCCAAGCTCCTACCTGCTTTGCACGTCCTGCCATCGTCTTCCAGCTGCACACCAGTGGGACAGGCACAGCTGTAGAAGGGGTCCCTTGGAGACAGCAGGCAAAGATGGGAGCAACCACCGTTGTTTTCTTCACATGGAGTGTGAACTTCAAGAAACAAAGCAGATTTATTCTAATTTTTCTAGAAGACCATAAGCTCTGTTTTCTCCACGAGGAAGAAATTACACATCCCAAATGACTGGCATAAGCTTTAGTGCTAAAAACCAGAGAAATCACAATATAAAATGCTTGATTCCATCCCCTCCCCGTCCCCACCATCTTAACTCTAGGGGCACCTAAATTGAGATGTATGCAACTAATGGGATGACCAGTTCAAGGAAAGAAAAGAAAACAACAATTTGTACAATTCCTGCATTACAGTACTGTTGCATGTACAGGACAGGGATGGACATATGACAACTGAACACTCCTTTCTCCTTTAGATGGGGAAAAAAAGAAATGAAAGTGTATTAATGAGTAATTATTGGCAAAAATTGCCATTTATAAAAACTACTTGCAACTTTTGCAAGATTTCTGCAAAACCGTTGTTTGAATCATCATCTGAACTACTTTACTACCACTTTAATATAAAAGCACAAAATGTCTGGCTAATTTGACTTTTGTTACTTCCACTGACACTCACATAGCAAAAAAAAAAAAAAAAATGGTGAGGAAGGTTTCCAAGCCTGATCTTAATGAAGTCAATGGCATCTGAGCTATTTTCAGCATATGCTTCTTTCTCTGTGTGCTGTATTTTCTTTGTGACTGACTCAAATGCTAAGACCCAAGGCTGGGACATTCCTGGAGCTAAAAGCAATGACAAGAATTCAGCACAGACAAACTCTTATCTGGAGCTGTGAGATAGACCAGGGTGCTGTGCATACCCAGCAACCTCAAGGAAAACTTGCACATGTTCCATCCCCAAGATGATCTCCAAACTCCTTTTGATTACTTTCAGGCCTGTTTACTGACATCCTATTAACTTCACCAGAATAACAAATGTTATCTTTAGGGAAGCAGATTTTACAGCTGGCATAAAGAAAGAAGCCAGTCCAAACGGCAAGAGTATTTCCTCTGGACAAGAGTTGATTCTTCCCAGAGCTACTCAATTATATACATTTTGCAACACTGATTTTAAGTCCCATTCTCACAATCCTAAAAAAACTCCAAAACCTCCTGCCACATGGAATCACATGAACATACAAAATACATGCAGCTCTACTCAATTTCAATACTCTACTTCCTTTGAAGTAGCACCAGAGAATGTATAGAAAAACAGAGGCACGTGTCTGCCCATGTGAAAGCTCAAAACTAAAACCCTTCCATACTAAGACATGCACAAGCTGTTTAATATGTATTGAAGATAACCATGATCAAGTTTGGACTGCAAAAATGGCACTTATAAGTACAATATGAACATTATATTTTTTGGAGCAATTTTATTTATTAAAAAAAGTAATTATTTCTGACAGAAGTCTTTAAAGCAATACCATTAAAAATATGCCAGGTAAGTTGATACCATCCCTGTTCAAATATTCCAAACCAAAAGAACTCACTGAAGTACTGCACTGGATTTTGCTACCATGTGGGATGGTGAGTTCACACCCATTCAGGCTGGAATACTCAAAGCAAGGAACAGGATTCAGGCACTTCTACCTTCAGCAACCAACCCTTCGAGAAGCGTGCAGAACTTTGAAACTCCACACTGCCCTGACATTCTCCCTGACAGAGAAGCACCAGGCAAGCAGGGTTTGAGGGGAAGCAGGACGTACAGTAGGGCTGCCGGTCAGGGCTCAGGACCTGGATGTCCATAGGCGAGTAGAGGGCAGACAGGATCTCCCTCCTCTTCTCTCCCGTCCTTTTGTTGCAGGCGTGGATGGAGCGTGTCTGCCAGTCCGTCCAGTACAGCGTGTCCCCAGACAGCGTCAGGGCAAAGGGATGAGTAAGGCTACCTTCAACAACCTTTTGCCTTTTTGGGAGAAAGAGTAAGGATTAAAACATGGATTGCTTCCACTTTTTACCACGCACACATGAAAAAAATTGGCTCTGTAGAAACTCATGTAGGAAGTGCTGTCTTTCAACAAATTCACGGGACCAAGAGATTCACCTGGTGATAAAGCGACAAGCAGACTGGAAAATGTAAAATAAGGTTTTACCCCTTCACAGCAATAAGGATACAAATACACTGGGCTTCAGAGCATCAAAGTATCTGATTCAGGCTCTACACTGACACCTTAAGTTCCTTAACTTCAGGAGCTGTGCAAATACCCAAACACAAGTGACTTCTCAAGGAAACTTAGGTCCACAGAGTGCTTCTCTGATTACAGCAGTATATGACATCTTTGCCCAGAACTTCAGCTGCACTCAGTATTTTCTCCTAGCAGAAAAAGGCAGAAACGTCCTATAAGTCTTATTAAATGACCCCCTCTTAACTTTGCAGCAGAAGTAAGTATTTTTCAGATTGATTTTTAATGTAAAGCAAAGGTAGTTATACTTTTCCTAAAACAAAATGCTTATAATTAATACAAATCAGGAACATTTGAGATGTTTTTTCAATGACATACAGCCACACCTCTGAGAATTAGATGAACTGGAAGCCACAAAACACATGACATTTCTAACATGCTTTCACAGGATCCCAAAATTTATACCTGTTGCAATAAATGTAAATAATTTAGATTCAGTAGTTTTGAAGATATTTATTAAGTCAGAGAAAAGACCCTGGACAATTTCTCAGTCAAAACACGAGGTACTCAGTTTTCACAAAACCCAAGCATTTTATGTATACACAAGGTATGCACACACCTTTCAAACCAGTGCTGTGACACAGCAAAGCATTATTCAAAATTTTCATCATATGACTTGAAGAAAGCTGAAGTCTCAGTGTCATCCTGAAGGAAAATGAGGAACTTAATTTTCTTATACCTCTATTAAATCTGCATTTAGTGGGGGTTTTTCCACTGAAGATGTTTAAGGAAAAACAAAAACCAACTAACATTTGGCAGGGAAAGGACTGTTTCATTTTAAGCAGCATAGGTAATTATCTGCATTTTCCAGGGTAGAAGGGAATAAAAAACACTCCCAAAATTCTTGGTATATATTCAGACATGGAAAGGTTTAAAACAGACTGACACATGCACAAACTACCAGCAAATACATGAGAAAACAAACTTATTAATAATCTTTCTCTTCTAGAGAAAAAATTGAAACTGTTCTAAAAATTTTGTCTAATCACCCCTACTTCTTACCAGAAAACACAACAGAACAAACAAAACCACTAATTTCACTTTCTCTCTCCACTCTCACCATTGCTGTTCTCTCTTAACTAATAACAGCAGTGGCTGTATCCTAATATTGTAACAGCTGCTTTCCACTACATATTGTCCCTATTTCCATCATTCTTAGATATCAAGTCTCCCTTTCTCCTGTAATTACATCCCTTGAAACAGTTCCAGAAAATGTGGGTGCAAACTGCAGCTTGCTAAGAGGCAGATTGCTCCAGTAACATTAATCCACCACACAGAATGCAAATTTCCTTTTTATTTAGATTTTGAGGTAATCCTGAATGGATTCTGGGATGGGAGGGGTGGAAGCATTTGAAACATCACAGATTTCTTTATTGTCATGGATGAGTGAAACTTGCTCCATGTTTAAGGAACAGAAACAACTTCAAAAGTTACCATCATGTCTAAGCCCTTGCTGAAGTATTCCTTAACACCAGAATCCAGGAGTCCCAACTTCACATACGTCTGTTTCAACATTGATGAGTGGAATGGAAAAGGGAATAAATAAAAATTTCATTTAAAATTTCATTTAAAAGGAGTTATGATTAAGATCAATCTTCATGGCATTTTATTAATATCCATAACACTTTCAGAGCTATTATGCTGGACAACACCTAAAAGTTCACACACAGTCAGACATCAGGAACTTCCAGAATGCACCCTGCACAGGGATATTCTGACCTCAAGTGTGCATTTACATGCTCTAGCAGCTCAGTAAAATATGCAAGAGTGAGTCAAGTTTTTCTTAATGCAAAACACTTTTTTTTTCTAAAACACTATTTGATTTATGGTCCAACAGAAATCTGTTTGGGAGGTGAGGCATTGATCTATCACAAAGCAATTTGGATAGATTGCTGGAATTAGTGTATTCAAAGTTTTGCTCCCTTTCAGGTGGCTTTTCTCTACCTTAAAATGAGCAGAATAGATTTTACTTGCCAATTACAACTTCAACATTCACACACATGCAAGTAAAGTCTGTACAATTTGTATGTGCATGAAAACCTCAGAAACAGCCTGGAAACCTTAAAATCTGCCACTCACCCCCAAACCAGACAAACATATTCATGCTGAATCATATGAAAATCTTTCTTTCTGTCTATGAACCTGCAGCCAGACTTGGAGCTACCACTGCCTTCCACAAAGGCCTTTTCCCTCATCTCTGCTCTGGACTGTCAGTCAATACTTGTCACTTACTACAATGCCACCATTATCCAGCTCTTACACAGCGCTCTCAAAGGAACTTGAGAGTGTTTTATAAAGGATGTCAATATTGTTATTGCTCTTTTATGACTGTGAAAATCAGGCATAGAATGCAACTCAGTAAAAAAAAAATGAAAAACACCATGGAAAATTTTTTTTTGGGGAGGGAAGGCATATTATTCTATTACACAGAAATGCGTAAAATAGAACTCCTCCAACTTTTCACCAAGGCAAAACAATTTTATTGACACAGGCATTTAAAATGTTATGAAATCATGAAAATGAAAATGTCATTTAAAACTACCTGAAGACCAAAGCCAGACAACAAAGCAGAGATTATTTTGGCAGGACACTTTACTGCATGTGACACTCACCCTTCAGGACCAACACAACCTGCCCATTGAGCACTGCACAGAACTGAAGATGCAGTCTCAAATGCCTAAGTCTGCCCTGCCTGAAGTGTCACTTCTCCATGTCTACAGAAGCCAAAACCTAACAGCACACATGGACAGCAGCACCACTGTGCTTTCCAGCAAGCTTTAGGAAAATCTGCTTCCTAACTGTTTGTTGTTTGAAACATCCCCAAATTAGTTAATTAATAGGCATAACATAAGGACATCTCTGGATGGGGCTATGGCCGAGTGTCTCAATGTGTATTTCTTGTTGGTAAAAAAAACCCAAACCATTGACAATACTGTAAAATCCCAGTCACAAGTTAAATGTTATATTGTCTAGGGTCAAGAATAAGCATCTCCAACTATTTTCAAGACAAGTAAGAACCTAAAAAAAGAAGAATCCTGCTGTACAAGAAGGCTGTGAACAGTTTATAGTGAAATATTGATACAAATAGTCTTACACTTAAAACCAGTTTTATATTATGTGAGGTTATTTATTGCAAGCCTATTAAGAACTGCATTAAAAAAAACCAATAAGGTATTGGCATTATTCTAGACTACTGGGGAAAAAAGTTTCATTTCAAAATGAACACAGAAAGTGAAAAATAACGTACACCTTATTATAGACCAAAGGAAGCTTACCTAAAGGAACCATCCAGATTTGCCCTATGAATGAAACTCAGTTTTGCATCAGCCCAGTAAAGTTTCTGTTCGTCGAGATCTATTGTGAGTCCATTTGGCCAGTAAATGTCAGAATCAACAATTATCTTCCGCATGCTGCTGTCCATTCCTGCCCGTTCTATTCGGGGGGTTTCACCCCAGTCAGTCCAGTACATGTATCTGAAAGAGACACACACACAAATGAGGCCACAAGACACACTGGGATAGCAGCTCTTTGCAAAGCCTCTAATGGCACATACGTACAGCAGGGTATAGACACCACTGTTTACTCCCAAAACTTTCACACACTTATTAAAGCAAATCAAACTGCAGGCCCACAGGGCACAAAGCAAGTCCTTCATTAAACCATCTCACAAGTTTTGCCTCTGTGTATTTACCATTGTCTTCCAATGCTGAGCAGTACCTGACTGTTATAAGCATTTACAACTGAGTATCATCCCTGTGTGGTCAGTTACTACAAGTTAATATCCTATATCACATTCTGAAGCAACTAATTACCTATCCAAGCAGGTAATGACCACAGCTTAACCTCCTTTTGCAAATCCATAGAGAAAAAAAAAAAATAAAAAATCAAGCGTCCTGAAATTTGTTTCTGTCAAAAAATAAATCACAAATCTGTGAAGACTTACAAAGACATTAAATTTTTGGAATTTTTTTCCCCATTCCCATTCATGTTCCAGTTTCCCTGTCACTCCACCTACGGGCAATGTAAGTAGCCTGAACAGACTCACAATAGATTAACAGCGTGTACCAGTTGGAAAAGACCAGATCAAAGTGTGACAAATCACACAACATCTGTATGAAAAGCTGAGATTGTCCAGCTACAAGAGAAATGGTCTGGCAAGAAGAGGACAGCCAGCTCACAGCTGGTAAACATCACCCAGCACCACACATCCAGCCTGCAATTCCACATGCAAACACAACAGCCAGCTCCTAGCCCAGCTGCCTCAGGGTGCTCAGAGAAACACACAGAGAAACTCCCAATGCCATGACAGCCTTTTGGGCCACGGGTCTGTGTGAGAAAGCCTTTGCCCTGAGGAAGCTCTCAAACATAACCAGGGATCTGTGCACAGGACCCATCACCTCCCCAGGTTCCGCACACAGTATTAGATCAACAGGAGCAGCAGACGGGCACCAGCTGGGCAAGAGCATTGAGTTGCATCTGAGCTGAGACGTCCTAACACTGGAGCTCCAGAGAAGCATGGTAAAGAGACATCTATTCAGTCCTGCACAATGCTTAGCCAGATGTTTCACAGCCTGGCTTATCTCAGACCCTTAGCTCCCCTGAGAAGACAGCACTCGCTGTGCAATCACAGTAGGAGCCACGAAGGAAGTCAATGAATGTGAATTGAGAAAACACACTTATACAAAAAAAGCTTTAGGCTTTAGTTTATGAGAGGGAATCCTGTCCACACTTCAGGGATGATGTAGGGACAACATTTGTAATTGCTGTCATGTTCCTCTGCAGGGGGATCTTGCTCTCCCCTTCGCAGAGCAAGATCCCCCTGAAAACTGCAGAGGCTCTGGAGCTGCTTTAGCTGCAGCTGGGCCATCATTTCAGCCAAGGAGGAACAGGCAGCTCTACAGTCACCACCACCGAATGTCCCTTACAGCACTTAACCTTAAAATGCCCTGATCTCCATGTGCATCCTCCACCCCAATTAAGGCAGCTCTCCAGTTCCAGGGCAGTCACAGCACCTACACCGCAGCACATATAATCATGAGCAGTTTACCCCACTAAAGAGGGAATACAGATAACCATGCAGATAGAGACAGATAGAAATTGCTCACTTGTATCACAATACACATAAACCTCAGTGTGAGGTCAAACCAGGTTTCTAGCTGAAATAAAAGACTTCCATGCAGGTGAGTCTGAAGGTTTCTGAGACAGCTCACATTAGAGTGGCTGAGGCACAATCACATCCCCAGATACCTTCCCAAAGCTTCCTCAGCTCCAGCAACCAGGATAGACTGACAGCTCCTGAAAAAGCAGCAGCAGTAGCTGAGAGCTGCCCCAGTTCAGAGGACAACCTATGAATGTAAATTGCCATTCATTTTGGTTTTCCTTAACAAGTCAGGCTGTAATTTGTGGCAACTCAGACTGTGTGGGGAAGCAGCTATTGACAAACAACTAAAGACAGAGAAAAGCAGACATAAAAAACCTGTTTGTACAACCAGCTGCTGAATCACACAGTGAAACTGATATGGCCAGATACCCGGTTTTGGTCAGGTCAAATCAGTTGTCTGATCCAGCTCATCTGCGCTAGCTTGCACCACCAGCATCCAACTCCACAGGAATAAAGACAGACAAAAGACTGTTGAATGAAGAAAAATGTGGCTATTAGAAGTGACTTTGGGCCATATCATGTGTACCATTGAAATGAGTAAGTGCAGACTAAAAAGGAGCTTAGACCAAAATGAAAAATCCCATCAAGTTACCTAAAAGAAAAAACAAAGGAGACAAAACTAGCTAAGTCCTGTTAAACCCTTAGAGCAGGTTAAAAGAATGAAAATAGATCCCCTAAATTATCATGGAACAAAATTCCTCTCCTCAGGCCTTACGTTAAAATTTTAGCCTGAACTCTCAATGCATTCAGATGAAGGAAAAAAAATAAATCTGTAAACCAAAGGGCCCTCATGGCTTTTCTATGATATTAAAGGAGCTCCAGTTGAAGAGCCACTTCCCACAAAATAATGTTGTTTAATTTCACAGGTGATGTGTGTTTACCCTTGGCCCCACAGAGACCGCTGTACAAATGTAGTACTTTCAAATTCACACACAAACTTGGCACGGGAAAATTACATCTCTAAATTTCAGCTCATTAGCAGGGACCGAGCTCAGTGTTACTCAAAGGTTTAATACTATGTGGTATTAGCAAAATAACTGCACCACAAAGGGTCAGCAGGATGAAGATGCACTTAGACAACATGGAGAACAATCAGAATACAGGCAGCCTTCCTTCAAAGCACTTCTCTCTCAGGTGGGCTTTTCTAAAGCAACATACCCTGCCACCACCTTGTCCTGACAGCAGGCTGTCTCTGCAATCCCTCAGGTACCATAAAGCTGATCTGCTCAGTGAACTTTTCAGAGTGTATTGAATCTCTGCACTAATCAAACTCCTAAGGAGGTAAAAGTTTTCTTCCCTCTGTGTGCTCTACAGAATCCCATGGTCCATCACAAGAGCACACACCAAGCCACGGAATGGCAAACAATTTTTGCATCCTTTTCAAAGAGGTTTCCATCCTTCCATCAGGCAGCAGGTGCTGAATTGCCAAGTATTCTAGGAAATTTGCTCTGGTTTGCAGATCTCTTAGCTCATCAAGACCCTGAACTGGGAGTTTAGAAATCAATGTAAGAAGCTGCTCCTACAGCAGGACGGATCTTCTCTGGTCTAAGCGAGCCCGTTTAAAACCATACCACTGCCAAATGAAGCACATCTTCCCTGGTGCCCACCCCTGGTGTTGACATTAGTATTCTACAAGGAAAAAACCAAGAAAACTCAAAACCTTTCAGTTACCTTAGCAAATAATCAGTCTTCCCAAAGTTTCTGCAGCAGTGGTGCTTAAACAGAAGAAGCAAACAACAGCAGCAATCAGCCATCTGAAGCCTCCTGTGAAACTTGCCCAGAGAAAGGCACTTCTCATCAACTCCCCCATGCCAAGTCACCTTTGAGTCTTAGCTAGGGCAGTTATTTCCATCCCTCCTCTTCCACCTTTCTCTAGCCTAACATCCTGGCTCTTTTGACTTTTTTTTTGCAGCACAAGGCACAACAGAGCACGGGACATGAGACTCTAACAGGCCATAAAATGTCATGTTTTAACTGCATGCCTGTGAGGGACTTCCAAGAATGCACAAAGTGTCAAGTTTTCCCTTTTCTTGCCCTCTTCTATTTTGAGTGACAAAGCTAGTTCAAGCTAAGTCAAAAATACACTGTTCTGGCTGGAACACAGAGTCACCTGAAGACAGAAGTTTTATTACCCAAGTTGTAAATCCTACAAGCTTAGCTAAACCAGCACTGCAAACTTAACTGGAACAGTAATAAGAGAAATTTTTGGGGCAGGGGGAAAGCCTCCTTGCTATGATTTGTGATGAAGAAAAAGACAAAGGCTAGCTATCCTTGAAATAACCCATGGATCTCATTAAAAATATTAGTCTCCTGTCAAAAGTCAAAAGTCCTGAAATCTGCTTGCACTAACTGGTTCAGAGAAAAAGAACTACAGGAAAAACAGTGGAGAAATTAAAGATTTTGGACATAGTAATGTCCTGAAGTCATAATTAGGCCTTACAGCTTGCATCTTTCAAATGCCTCCAGACTCCAGGATCAATTCTTACACAAAAGCAGACACTTTTAGTTGGGCTTTATGGGCAGGGGAAGAATATGGCAAAAAGCTCCAAGTGGCTTCTCAGAGAAAGAAATCAATCTGCATGCTTTAACAGTTTATATGCAGGAACTGATTTTGATTCATCCTCATTTAAATTAACCTTCATTCAGGAGCCTGGAGTGATAACTGACATATTATTTTCGTAGAGAGGAAAAAAAGGCTCTCCTGAACTTATTTTTTAAAGAATGCTCAAGAGTCCATATCTCTTATTGAACTCAATATAAAACAAGCACTTTCAAACAGTCAAGACATCATCAATGTTTCTGGGACAAATGATGGTTCAGGACTGGATTTTTTGTTTTTCAAATAGAACCTATTTTCCAGGTGTCCAGCATATTAACAATCCCTATCATTTAAAAAAGAAACCCTGTATTTAGCCCAGATAACATTTCAGAAAAATAAGCAGACTAAGCAAAGAATCTCAGTCTGGCACTACCTGTGCTATTATGCCTCCCAGTTTTTGAAGCCAGCTGAAAAGATGCACACTGAATAACAATGAAGAGCCTAAGGCAAGCATTTGGGTAGTTTTTTTGTTTGGTTGATTTCTTGATGGTGGTGGTGGTGTTTTAAAATGTAAATTCCAGAGTTTTAAATACCCCTGGGACAGGGCATGCAATAACAATCGTAAGAAACTAAAATTATCAAAACCAGTATCTTTGTACACATTAGATCGATCACATTTTAGGACTGGCATCTGAGGAGTTTTATATCCTCCCTGCACGGCAACAGGTCAACAAAAGTCTAACAGCACTGAGGCTGTCAAAGAAAATGAAAAC